ACGTCAATACACATATTGTACATTAACACAAAAATACGCACACGAATACGAACATAGTTAGGTAAAAAAGGTACATTTATAAAAATTGGAAGACAATAATTACCCATTAGGGATAATGCGTCACGACCGGATGGTTGTAGCGTCTGACTTCTTCATGAAGTTGAAACTAGTTGCGTGACATTGCAACTATTGGATTACATAGAAGCAGGTACAGGGTGACACAAAGGAACCGGAGGTTTTTTTAAATAAGTAGTACACAGTAGGCTAGTTATAAGGAATAAAATGGTTTTAATTTTTGATACTATACATAGTGAGGTAAACATTTGCCATTTGTCTTTCCCATGCCATGTACTTCACTACAAATGTTCATTCTGGTCTGAAAATCATCTGAAACTTGGGTCAGGAGGCCTTGTTCAATGCCATTGATCTCTTCTGTGATTGCCAACAACTGCAATTTTTTTTGCTAAATAGGTACTAATCTTCGTTGATCAACACAAATTATTTTTGGAAGCTTGGTTAGACCTCGTGTAATGCCGGTTTTACATAATGACAGAAAGGAGTGAGCCAATTGTCATAAAACAACTGACTGGCATAAAAGCATTAATTGGCTTTGTGTAAACCACTTCATGCCAATTGCCTTGCCAACTGCCCTCACGCCTCACAATTGTCCTGAACTTCAGTTGTCTCTGGGAAAGACAACTGTCTCACTAACTGACATGTATACCAGGCTAAAAAAATAAAAATTATATTAAAGTACAGTTAAAATTAAAATGTGAGAATTATTTATTTTGACATTTTAATCTTCCTTCAATTCAGATTCAACTTTAGTTAAATTAGCCACATCGACCCTATCATCAACTGCAGTCAGCAGCAGTGATTACTTTGGATGCCACTATATATTTCAAACAATTACAGTAAAATAGTAAATAGGTCGGATTTTTAGTGTTTTAAACTTTTTTTGCATACAATACTTTTATGAAAATTTAAATTTATGACAGTTAATATATTTTATTCTAACAAATTAGTTTTACATCTTACCTGGAGCTTTATGAGGAATGAAAACAAATGTTGCATTTCCAGGTGCTACTTTTATAATCACGATGATTGTCAAAAGCCACAATATTTCCTGGTTCCTGAAATCAGTAAAACAAATAAAAGATTAAGTAAAGGAGAGTTACCTTCACTATTTCTCTCTGTATGATATTTCATACTAAATAATTCATATTTAAACTATAACTATCAGAATTTACTTTTTTAATTCATATTACTCTAAGTAGCAAATTGACAACGCTGTGAGTTTAGCGATATATTTTAATGACAATAAGTTTACCTGCGTAAGCATAAATCATTTATATACTCCCCCATAATACTAAACACTAATTTTTAATGACATCGAACAAATCTATAACTAAACAAATAGGCCTTAGTAGCCAAATTATAAGTTGACAAATTAATTTACCAAGTTAATCCAATAGGGTCACCAAATTTAAGTTTTTTGCATTTTGCTCTTTTTTTTTGTACTGCCAGTAAAGCAAATAAATTAATTGAATAATAAACTTCATGGAACTACATTATAATGGTACTCAACTTTAGGCCTACTCAATCTTCTCAGTTAAATATACCTTTATTTTAAATTGCTAACTCAGAAATAAATTAATGGGATGAGATATCTGAGAAAGTTCCAAGGGAATTCCAAAACCAAAAATAGTTTAGGCCACTCTGGAGGAGGTTAGGCCTACTATACAGGGTGTTACAAAAAAGTGTGATGGGCTATACAGGACCTAATTCTACATGCAAAAATAAGTCAAAAATGAAGAATAAAATTTTTTGGATTTCGGCTTAGTTTAGCCGTAATCCGCCATTTTGTTTTTTGGGGAAAATATTTATTATTTCAAAATCCCTTTGAGATATTTTTACGAAACTTGGCAAAATTGTTTAAACTATAGTAAGTAACATTTATAAAAAAAATTATTATTTTAACTTTCCAAATTTAAAAATGGCGGCCGTTTGAATTTTTTAATGCCAAATTTCATGAAAACCGGTACGTAAATCAAAATTTTGTATGACACAAAAGTTTTAGTATTTATTATGACAAATCCAACAAAACAAAAATGAATAAAATCGGTTCATAAATAAAGAAGCTGTGTTTATTTTAGTAATTTAGACTGAAATTACTTAATACATTACATAAATTATTACATTACATTTAATACATTTTAATATTAATAATTTCAATATGCCTAAACAATCACGGAGAAAATTCAAAAATAGTGTAATTTAAAATTCATATGTTATTCTTATGGAGAAAATTAAAACTGTTGTAGTTTACTTGTTTATCGATATATACAGGGTGGTAATAAAGTCCGAAGACAGTTAAATATTTTCTAAACGACAACAGATAAATCAATAAGATTTCGTACATCAACACCACACCTAAAAATCTACTTTTTTTTAGGAAATATCAGTTTTCTGTCATATCATGGGGACGTCCCGCAAGGAGTCAGAAGGAAATCTTAAATAATAGAAGCATAGGTTGATATCAAATTAAAGGTCTTTACTAGCAGAATATAATGCCGCAAATTTGAACTCAAACGGACAACCGAGCCAAAAATGACAGTTGTTCAAAGATTCATTTAATGAATATGTGTTAAAATAAAGTTTTATGCTCTGTAACTTTGTATTGTAGCTCTATCTACATTATTTTTTAAAATATTTAACTGTCTTTGGACTTTATTACCACCGTATATTGATAAAATTTGGCAAATTTATTTATTTCATTCTATACTCCCATTATATTTGAGGCATGGTCAAAAAACACTTTTTACCTTCCCCCTAGCAGCAAACCTATAAGCACTCATTAAATCTAAAGTTATTTAAATTGGGAATAAATATGTCTTTTATGGAAATATTTTAGTAAAAATGTAATCAGACAAGTTGAAATTCGCTTAGTCTGCAGGTTTGCTACGGCGGGGGTATTTTTAAGCAATAGGATGTCATTAACATGTGCTGAGTGACCCCATAAAAGCAATCCATATATTACATGTGCCTGAAAGAGGCCAAAGTATGTCAGTCTAAAATAATCAGGACTAACAAAACTTTTGAGTTTCCAAAGCAGGCAAGTCATCCTTGAAATTTTGCTACAAACAGATTAGATGAGAACAGACCAGTTTAATTTTGAATCAATATTTATTCCTAAAAGCTTGACCGATTCCATATTGACTTCTCTTTTTAAACTCAATGTTACATATAGTGTTTTTTCCTAATTACAAGATAGTTAATTTTTTGAGAACCAATCATAAGCCATTGTCTCAGCTTGTCGGGACATTTCTTGTAAATAAATCAAGTTTTCATCATTGGGAAAGTAATGTTGTATCATCAGCATAAATAATGGATTGGGTATTAAGGTTTTTGGGCAAATCATTAATATAAACTGTAAAGAAAAAGGGACCAAGGATTGATCCTTGTGGGACTCCAGATACCACTTCAATCATGTTGGAACAATTATTACTAACAGAAACATATTCCAATCTCTTCGAGAGGTATGACTCAATAAGTTTCAAGGAACTTTGCGCCACAACGTAAAACTGAAGTTTTTTTAGGAGAATATCAAATGAGACATGTAATACAAAAAAAAAAAGAGTTAATAAGGAATTTGAAATTCAGAGATAAATCTTAACTTGACATATTCATAATACAGTACTTAAATATTATAAATAAAGTCCTAATATAAAAACTTATTCTGTAAAAAAAAGGAAAAATGTTTATTAATTAAAACTTTAATCTGGCAATTCCATTTACTTTTTATATTTCTTTAGAATACATTTAATTAAATTAATCATGAGTTGTTACTTACATGTTTACTGGTGAAGGTCTAGGGGTGTAATGATCCAAGGTACTGTTACTGACCCCAAATAAACCAGAAATAGCATGGAATGTAAGCCTTTTGGGGCAAGTAGTTTTCACTTTTCAGAAAATAGATTATTCAGAGCAATGGCTATGGATGAATTGCTGGGATTCAAGTGGAATATTTTTCCAAATGCTTGTTTAATATTTTAACTGCATATCTGGTTTCTTATTTTGTTAAAATATTTTAATTTTTAACTTGTTTATGGTGTTGGAAAGATAAGGCTAAACACAATACTTGAAGTTCCCTAATAAATATAATTTGTGGTTTTAGATTATTTACATTTTTAATCATATACCAAACTAATTCATCCTATTTTACGCAGTGTTAAAATTATACATAAATAAAACCAAAGACAGCCTTTTGCTCAAAAAGACACCACTTTTTTACTAAACTTAAAAACTTAAAAATTATTCGATTCCAATCAATTTGCTATTTGAATTAGCTATTTTCTATAGGTAATCAAGTAATAGGTAATTAAATAACTTCTTGATCAGCATTGTAGGCCTACATGTTATTAAATTTAGTGAAAGTAAATTAAAGAAGCGTCTTATAACACTTAAAAAATATATTTATGTTTATACTGTTACCTACTCACAAGAAAGTAAATATACATAAGAGACGGTAAGTGATGATCGATTTCGATTGGACACTACAATCATCATCAGACCCAATAGGTGAATGACATCTGTTATTTACTTTCCGTAATCTATTATACTGCAAAACCATAGTAATTTTAAAATCCTTTTATATTGGTCAAAAATATTCTTTAAACAATAAAATGCACAGCTACGGTTACAGTCAATAATTGTTCTTGTAATGATAAGGAAATCAACATTATCACTCAAGACATTAATTTTTGTAAGTATCTTATGAGTAGTCTAACTGGAAACTATAAAATACTTAAGTCCTCATGCATAGATACAAGATCTTAGGTACAAGATCTTCGCAGTCCAAAAAACAATGAAATGCCACCAAAGACTTTCACAAAGGGTAAAAATGAAATGTTATCCTTTAATTAATTTTAATCACTAATACTAAAGCAGTCAAGTCATGAATATTGGTTCTTTCATGTTCACATAATAAGGAACTTACAAAACCTTTAAAAGTTTACATTTATTCTCTAATATACACGGAAAGATCTTGGATTAGGAACAAAGTCGATTGGTTGGTCCAAGAAATCTTTGCATTTTGGGAATCCAGGAGGAGCTGGAGGGATGTCATCATAGTCTCCAACCCAGATGACCACAGCCATGCCTGTCTCTTGGTGATAGGCAAAGTGGCAGTGAAGAAACCAGAATCCTGTGAGGGTATTCAAAATTGGATGGTTTTAAGAAAAATATTTACAAAATTTGACAAAATGCATGACATTTTTTTATTCTACCCAACACCACTTAATCAATAATATCACTCACTATTAGTAAGGATAAAAATCAATCTACAAACAAATGTTTAATCAATAGCTGTTACTTAAACCAAATTAAATTGAAACAAACTTAAAATGATAGTGTCAGCTCCTAGACTTTTTTTTAAATTAAAACTTAAATCCTAAAAAACTGAAATCCCAAACCATAGTTATGTCTTTGACATTCCCTTCCTTTCAAATTTATCTTTCTTACAACACAAAAATCATGAAAATCCGTCTAGCGGTTAAGTTAGAATTGTGAAATAAAATACTGCTCTCACGTTTTAATATATGAGTGAAAATTTAAAAACGTACGTTTTCATGTCCCTGGCCTTTTACTTCGTAGCTACTGGATTTGTAGTTTATTATTATGTGTTTTAATATTTTTTGGGATGGGGGCAACATGTTACACACATTTATTTGGTTTTAAATAGGTTCTAGGTATTTTTTTCGTATTTTTAAAGTCTCGAAATTCACGACCATGACGTGTCCCTAGGGTAAATTTTCCAACTTTCACGCTGTTTTTAGACTAATTATTCATGCCGAAATATATAAAGCCATATTTTTATGTCATCAATGGTTATTAAACTTACAAAAAAGGAGCATATTATAATTTTATTGTGATTGCAAACTGACTACCATGACATAATAAGTCTGTCCCTCGATTTGGCGTCACGACCATTTGGGAAAATTTTTCAACTTTGGAGCCCGACAGTGGCAAGCCTGGCGTTGATGGAGTCAGTTGGTTTTAGAGACTAGTTCGGGGTGTACGTCAGGATTGTAGTGCCGGTCGTTTCGAGTTGAAAGGAGGAATTACAAGATTAATACAGGAAAGGTTGTGTTTTTTGTAATTTTGGTGTGTCCATGACCGTACATAGTCATTCGATGAAGTAGACATGGTGTTAATTTTTGTTTATAGGATATTTCAATTGCTAGATTAACCTAGAAGTCCACTTTGTATCCTCGAACATGAGGTGCAGAGCTACCGCCAGAACAGAGCCAAATAACACGTAATTTCACGACCAAAGTTTCACGACCATCGCTGGTTTTTTCACGACCTATCCAGCCTTATGGATTATAGTGTGTTTGGTCGTGACAATAACTTTAATATAATTGTAATTTGAACAGTTTAGTTCAATTGAAACACATATTTTTATTATAACTAACAGTATAATTAAAGGATTGTTTAGAAAGATTTAGATTTTTTTATAAAATTCACGACCGTACCGCTTGTCCCTGACCATCACGTTTATGATTTCTGTCATAAAAATTTCAAAAATTAAAATATCATCATATTTCAATGTTTTATACACAAAAGAAGCACGCCTCTATGCAAACATAACGATTTTTCGGGTCTCAGGTAAGTTTTTTCGGAGTTATACAAACTTAAAAAGATATTATTGGCTTTTTTCAATTTTTTTGAGTTTTTTCTTTTTTTCTAGAAAGACCAAATATACTAAAAGCTCAGTGACCTTTTTAATGTATAATGGTCATAAAAGTAAATTAGTTTATAGCAAAACATAGTTATAAAAATAATATTAACTATTTTTAATATTCATTTAAACGTCTGTTATGGTCGTGACAGGATTTTGTGTTTTTCCACTAAAGATGCTCTTTTAAAAAAAAAACTACCAAAGATATTGCGTTACCATGGACATTTTATGAAACTTCAAATGTTAATGAAATCAAAAAAATAATAAAAGTTTTGAAAAAAGGGGAAAAAAATTTGCAAAGTGTGTTTCCTGAAAACGTACGTTTTTAAATTTTCACTCATATAAGATTATTTGAGTGTAAAAGTTCAATTTTATTCATGGAAAAATATTTTTGGTGAGTTAGATGTTTGAGTTATGAAGAATATAAAATTCTGAATAATTGTTTGGTACCACACCAATTATTTGGACATCGATATTTTTTCATACAAAAACATTCTCGAATAAAATAATATAATCCAAGTATTACTCATAAGTTAGGAACATTATAATCATAGTCTAAAATTGCTCAGGGACAGTAATGTCCCTTGCAATGTCCAAGTGTGAGTGGTTGGTAGAGCAGATATTTGAGTTAGCTATAAACACCTACCTGGATTGTTAGCTGTTATCCTCATAATACTGTATCCTTGGTTGGGAACTGAGATTGTATCTTTCATCGGCAAATATGGATTAAGATTGTATCGGTTCTCATTTAGTTTCTCCCATGCAAACTTTCTTCCATCAGGAGTGAAATATTGAGCTGGTAACTGTCCTTCCTCTATGACGTAGTAGTCGTGACCATGAATGTGGAAGGGATGGAACAACATAGCTGGATTTGGCATTTCTGAAATTTAAAATTGTAGAATTAGGATTAGGGAAAAAGAAAATAGTTGAATTGTTAAAGATGATACCAGACTAATAAGATTTTTACTCTGTAGAAGCCTTCTGGCTATTTTGACTAGGTAGAAACAGAGTCTTTGGTTGGGTGGGTTTTGGAGGGGGAATTAAGACAATCAAAATGCATTATGAATGTCTAATTAATTATAACGCCTTGCTGGGCTATAGAGTTACTCTATGGGGTAGCTCTGTAAATTCTCAGGACCATTTTCACCAAAGGCCTAAAACAAACTGTAGTGTATTTTTAAATTCCATATTAACAATTACTATGTCTTTCTTGATACAGCAAAGTATATTCATACAAATTCTTCTTTTTATGAAAAATATATGATGAAACTTAACTATCAAACAACAAATAGTAACCAAAATGATCAATATCTCAAACATTTGCACAACATTTGAAACTGGACTTCTTTAAATGGGATTAAAAATCTACAACCATTTACGTAATTCTAACAGAATTCAATCAAAATCAAATTTAAAATCTAAACTGGAAGAGACTTTGAACCTGAAAGCGTATTACCAAATTTATATTTTTTTTAAGATAGACATTAACACGTTCGCTACTGCAATAGTACGAAATTTTTCATTCACATGGACCAGCGACGCACATATCGCATAGACTGACTACGCATATTTGTGTCGGGGTCCTAATGTTATAATATGCTTATATCTTTGTAACGGTCTATTTGAAGGCACTGAATTCCCTGCAGTGGTCTACACCCAGACAGCACACTTTCTCCTCAGGACATCCCACAGATATTGCGACAGGATATGCAAGATATCCTATAGTAGTCCTATGGTCAACCTGGGATATCCCAGGATATCCGCAGGAATGCGTAATGTCCCCGCCCGGGGATGTCCTACGGATAAGCTCACAGCATATCCGTGGGACATCCGAGGTCATCTCAGGGTAGTCCTCAGGACGTTCTCAGGACATATGGGACTACTATGGGATGTCCCTGGGATAAAGTGTGGTCTGGGCCTGAACATAAAAAACACCAAATAATATAGATTTAGTATGAAAAGTTCAATTATCAGTTGAGTAAATTGATTGAATAGTTAATAAACACAAATATTGAAGAAAAAAATGAGAAAAAAGTTTTTGGCCCAGACGGGTCTCGAACCTGGTACCTTCGCCTTATGAGCCTCTTACTTTACCTCCTGAGCTATCCACGCTCAGAGAGAGCGCATTCTCCGGACATAAGGGACTACTATGGGATGTCCCTGGGATAACCCAGACAGCACACTTTATCCCAGGGACATCCCATAGTAGTCCCATATGTCCTGAGAATGTCTCGGGATATGTACGCTATCCTCAGGATATCCCGCAAAATCCCGGGACGAGTACAAAATCCACAGGATATCCTACAATATACCGTAATCTCCCGGGATTTGTATGTTAACCTCAGGATATCCTGTAAAGTCCCGGGATATGTAAGAATGCCATAGGATATCCCAGAATGTCTTATGACATCCCGGGACATGTACAAAATCCACTGGATATCCTGTAATGTCCCGGTAACAAACTAAAGAAAAAAAATACTACCACTGATGAAATGTATATCTAAATTTAAATGTTCAACAAGGCCAATATATAATAATTTGTTTTTTTCATTAGCGCTTTCAGAAACTAGGTTTCCATCTTCAGGCTGTGTTTACACTAGTACAGGGTGGGGCAGAGTGGACTCCCTAGTTTCAATCAGTCGCTGAAGAGCGTGCGCGCGAGTTAGCGGAGTGGGAGAGGTTTCATGTGGTGGGGGGAAAGACGCCATTGTTGGTAGTCACCATGCCATAAACTGGCAAGCATCGTGGTTTTGTAGTCAAAACATTCTTTTAAAATAAGGATAGTGTGGTGGCGACCCAGCGAGCATTTCGTAGACGGTTTGGTTTGAATTGTCATGATAGTGTTCCCGATGCTAAAACCTTAAGGAAATGGATTACAAGTGTACGGGCGACCGAATCTGCAACTGAGGTTTACAAAGCTCGACCAAGGACCTTGGAAGCCCTTAAGGAAGCAATTAAAGTGTGCTGTCTGGGGCAGGGATGTCTGACGCACAACTGCGTCGCTTGGTCTGTGGATATGATGATTGGTGACGTCATGTGTGTTGTAATGTCTAACTTACATATTCATCTTGCCTGCCTAATTTGTTATAACTTATGGTTAATGATATATTTCTATATTGTTATGAGTTTCTTTATAGTTGACCTGTTTACATTCAGTTGTTGTATTTTGTATTCTATCTTATTCCCAATTAAATTAGTTTCATGTTAACTAACTGTTAACTAAAGTTCACCAACTTTGAAAATGTATCAACCTCCTTCAATAGAGAAATTGAAAGGCCGTGAAAACTATGATACATGGAAAGTTGCCGCTCAAGTATATTTGGAAGATTGTGAGCTCTCTGGGACTGTATTTTAGGAACTGAAAAAGATAGAAAGAAAGTGACAAAATGTAAATCCAGAATTATCTTGCTAATTGATTCAGAGTTAACTACGTCCATGTCGAATCAGCAGAAACAGTCAAGGAAGCCTGGGAAAATTTAGAAAAGGCATTTTCTGACAGGGGTTTACCCGAAGAGTTGGTTTGCTGCGATTGTTAACAACAACAAGGCTAGAAAATTGTAAGTCCATAGGAGATTATGTCAATCAAATCGTATCAACAGCCCACAAGCTAACCAACATTGGTCTGAAAGTGGATGATGAGTGGGTAGGAACAATTTTACTTGCTGGACTACCGGAACAATTCCAACCAATGATCACGGGTATTGAAAGTTCTGGTGTTAAGATAACGGCTGATTCAATAAAAACTAAACTACTTCAAGATATATTTGTGGAAAATGACTCTTCCAAATGCATTACGATGTTCGATTATGGTCGAAGAGAAAATTTAAGACCAAGTTTTCAGAACAGCCACAGACACAACACTTCAAGCCAAAAGAAACCCACTGATGACAAGAAACATCAAGATAGCAGAGTTTACAAGGGTCCTCGATGTTTCCAATGCAATTAACGGTTATGGTCATATATCAAGGTACTGTGACAAATCCAAGAACATCAGCACCAGAAGTGATAGAGACAGTTGTAAGTATAAACAGGACAATTCACTCTTTGCTGCCTTCTCAATGCAAACAGATGTAAGTAGTGATTGGTGTCTAGATTCAGGAGCTAGTGCTCATTTATGTGTTGACAGTGTGATACTTGAAAATAAAAGAAAATCTCCACAGTTGAGTATTACCACCGCTAATAATTCCACTATGGTAACTGACACAATTGGAGATACAAACCTTGCTGTAAATATTTCAGGTACTTCATCAGATGTTAAAGTTCAAAATGTATATCATGTTCCTCAGTTGAATGTAAATTTACTGTCTGTCAGTCAAATTGTGAGCAAAGGGAACACTGTGGTTTTTGACAACGAAGGAGCTCAGATTTTCAATAGTGACAATGAAGTAATTGCCACAGCTTCTAAGGTCAACAACTTGTTTAAGATAGATGTTCAACCCTCTTCAGGCACAGCCATGACTGCAAAATGTAATAATCGAATGCTTTGGCATAAACGTATGGCTCACCTGAACTATGATGATCTGACAAAATTGTCAAATGGCTTGGTGCATGGAATCAATCTTTCTGATATTCCTGATATTCCTTGTGAATCCTGTGTACTTGGCAAAAGCCACCGACTACCTTTCCAACCAAGTAGCAGTAAAAGTAGTGAACTGCTAGAATTGATACACTCTGACTTGGTTGGACCGATGGAGGTAAATTCTCTTGCTGGTTCTAAGTATATTCTTACTTTCCTAGATAATTTTAGCCATAAAACATTTGTTTATTTCTTTAAGACAAAGGATCAAGTTTTAGAAACCTTCAAATCTTTTAAAAATCTGGTAGAAAATCAAACAGGAAAGAACATCAAAACTCTGAGGACAGATGGAGGTGGTGTGTATTGTAGCAAGAATTTTTCTGAATTCTATGAGAAAACAGGTATTGTGCATCAGACTAGCTGCAGTTATACGCCACAACAAAATGGTAAAGCTGAGCGATTGAACCGCACACTAATGGATCGTGCCCGATGTTTATTGCTTGACTCCGAGCTGCCTAAATGTTTTTGGGCTGAAGCAGTTAACACTGTAACTTACCTGTTAAATCGCTCACCGAGTAGGACAATTTCTTTGACTCCTGAAGAATTGTGGTCAGGCCAAAAGCCAACCCTCTCTCATGTGAAGACATTTGGTTGCAAAGCTTATGCACATGTTCCAGCACCAAATGGTAAGAAACTGGATGCAAGATCGACACCGTGTATTTTAGTAGGATATTGCTCTACAACAAAAGGCTACCGTCTCTACAATCCGAGGACAAAAACAGTACTAATTTCAAGAGACGTTACATTTTCTGAACGTGAAAAAGGTAGTACTTTGATGAAAAATTACCAAGATCAAGAGGATTACATGTTTTACAGTCCTCCAGAAGATTGAGATTTTCCTGTAGTAGCACCCAAAGAATCTGAATATGACTCAGCAGATTCTGACTTTGAAGTCAATGACAGTTCTGAACTTAAAGAAAATCATCCGTTGCCAGTATCCAGTGATCGACCTCAGAGAGTCTGTCAACCTCCCAAATCTCTTGAGGACTATGTAACTTTTTATGCTGCAAGTGATGATGATTGTGCTAAACCTCAACTAAACCGTTACAGCTCTGTACGCCATTTAATGGCATTAGCTGCTGAAAAGGAACTAGAAATAGACCGAATGGATGCCGTCGCTGCATTACCTCAAGAAGAAAAGTAGAGTTAGTTGTAAGACCTTTTTTCCTGAATACAAAATTCTTACTTTACCAAGTGTGTACATTTTGCAGAATATCATTTTTGTAAAAACAAATATTGAACAATTCTCATCTCGCTCATTAACTCACAATCATTACACCAGACTAAGGAATAATTTAGAGTTACCATCATTAAGACTGGCCTCAACACAGCGCAGCTATAAATATTTACAACTTAAACTTTTCAATGCCCTCCCTGAAAATGTACGCAACTTGCCTATTAAGTCACTGAAAAATGTATTGACCGATTTTTTGAACAGAAAGGTTATCTACTCTATCGAGGAATTTTTATCTTTCAAACATGATGATTTTCTGTAAAATTCTAATTGTTAAGTAGGGTATTGTTTCTAAAGTATGTAATAATGGTTTCATGAACTGTGATATAATAGTCTTTCATAATAATGTTATTTCTGTGAACTTTATTTAAAAATTTATTGTTATTTAGTTTTAAGCTGTATCTTACTGCCAATTTTAGCCTTAATTATTTTGTTATAGGCACTTACCCAACTTGTTTGCTTAACTATAAACAGTATTATTATCATCATTATCAATACATCTCAAATACTTTTGTACAAAAACCCAGTATTATTAGTTTATTAGTATAGCATGTTCATCTATTTACACTTGACTCTGTACATTGTACTTTGAATTGTATATTATCTCCATTGACCTGGCCTATTGTATGACATGTATACTTAATGGCAATAAACTATTTGAATTTAAGAACCTACAGAAGAAATATGCATGAATCAACCTGAACATGAAAAAGCCTGTTGTAAACGGAACCAGGAACTACACTCATGTTTGAGTAGAGTAGGACTAACTCATCAGTCAATCTTTGATTCAAGTGTTCACCACATGGTGAAAAATGGAAGGATGTTAGTCGTTACAGCCTGGGAGGACGATTTAGTAGTTTTTCACAATGACAAACATCTAAAGGAAATCCTAAAGTTTAAACTTATGAATGAATTCAAAATTGAAGATATGGGGAAATCAAAATATGTTCTACGATTTAAATTAACAAGGGACAGAAAAAACAAGAAGATTTTTCTTGATCAACGAGCTTCAAACTGTGAAAAAGGAAAAAGTGCTTAAGAAAAAGTTCAAAGAATACAAGTGAAAATATTCTGACAATACCACAAGACAAAGACAAGCTCATGAAATGTATCAAGGAGCAAGGAATATGCAAGTTGGGAGGATGTTGTAATGTCTAACTTACATATTCATCTTGCCTGCCTAATTTGTTATAACATATGGTTAATGATATATTTCTATATTGTTATGAGTTTGTTTATATTTGACCTGTTTACATTCAGTTGTTGCATTTTATCTTATTCCCAATTAAATTAGTTTCATGTTAACTAACTGTCTAAATCATTTTATATAAAATTCTCGTGTCACAGTGTTTGTCTGCAAACTCCTCCGGAACGACTTCACCGATCGTTATGAAATTTGGTGTGTAAATTCTGTAGGTATGCGAATCGGACGTAAACTATTTCCCGTTTCGAAATTCTTAAAAGGGCTCCGCCCCAGTGGCTCTGGAGTTTCCCATGTTAACCTTATGAGAAATGGAATTAATGAATCTTAACAGCTGTTTCAATTAAACAAGTCGGTTCTGTTCTATGATGTTCAATAGCATTAAAGTTACAAGGATTACCAACAGGGTGCAGCACTATTATTTCTTTTACATTTATGACAACAGCTAATTTGCAACCAAAAGGTGAGTGAGCGTAGCGAACGAACTTCAACCTGGAGGCGAGTTAGCGTAGCGAACGAGCTAACCTGAAGGCAAGTGAGCGCAGCGAACGAGCTCCAACCTAAAGGTGAGTGAGCGTAGCGAACGAGCTCCAACCCAAAGGTGAGTGAGCGTAGCGAACGAACTTCAACCTGGAGGCGAGTTAGGGTAGCGAATGAGCTAACCTGAAGGCAAGTGAGCGCAGCGAACGAGCTCCAACCTAAAGGTGAGTGAGCGTAGCGAACGAGCTCCAACCCAAAGGTGAGTGAGCGTAGCGAACGAACTTCAACCAGGACGTGATTGAGCGATGCGAACGAGATCATCTTGAAAATTAAACGTAACGGTACTTTCTTTCCATCGGTCTGTCTTAGGGGAAACCTATAACTTAGGCGATACGAAGTTCGCCGGGTCAGCTAGTCATTTTATATAATCAGGGGAATTAACTGCTGCAGCTCAACTCTGCTATTTCACCAACATCAGTGTGACAGTTAGAATAACTGGTCTTTACTTTTCTGCATCACTGTATGTATGTATGCAGTATTTATGCTGCATTATCCTCTGTAGCTTTTATATTTGTTCAGTTATAAACTGTTCTTGAATAATCTGTTTTTTACTTACTTTTACCTCAAAACACAAACAAAAATGAACTGTCGCATATGTGCAACGTTTGGTCTATTTCAAGAAAACTATGATAATTTTCACTATTGTCTTTCCTGTAGACCAGGCGTTGCAAATATGCAACATTACAAAATGTTATAAAAAAATACAAAAAAAACAAACAAGAATAACTTATTTACAAACATGATTGTAGCACATTACAATGATCACTGTTTTACAGGTTTTCACCCGTGGTCTGTGTGTACTGTTAACCAAGTGACAGCCGGTCTATGCGTAAGGTTCAAATGTATACCTCGGTCTGTGGCAATGACCGCGGCGTCGCATCAGTAGCGAACGTGTTAAAGGCTTTACACTTGTAAGGAAAACCTAGATTAAGGAACTTAGATTTAAAATGTCTCACGCTTGGGAATTACTTTTGTAATCACTGTGTCAGGCGTTATGTATAAATAAGTGTTATATATTTTCTACTGTCTAAGTACAACAGTCAAAATTATAACTATTGATCTTCATGTTATTACATTTTTTATTTAAACATTGTCCATAAACTTTTAAAACACATTGTAATGCAATAATTTCTAATAGTAGGCCTGTTAACCTTATCCTCCATTAACTTTGAATTTGTCTGTTGATAGAGATCTAAGACCAGTGTGTGCTTGATTATCTATCAAGCATAGCAAACCCAAAACGTCACTGCTACCAACTGAGCCACCGACTCACCCGCATGGACCAGCATAAACTCCACTACAGAGTTGAGTGGGACACGTATGACATGTGTACAGTCGCAGACTCTGCTACCATCCACAGGACACTCTGCGTTCTGACAGAACATGTCAGGTGGGATGTCATACAGCTGGGTGAGCAGAGGAGAGGGGGGACTGGCGTAGGACAGGTTGTTCATCTGTCCAGCAATATGAGATCCACTCGGGGCAACTGGAAGAGATCAAGTAAGCATTGAATTTAGGACACTGGAGTAGACCGATCTGCATAGAACAGTTGTAGTTATTTTGTATTAAAAAAGAACATAGTTGAATGAGACACTCATAGTAGGTGCTAGATAGCAGAATTCTATTTTGTAGCTATCACAGTAGGTGGGTACAGTAAGACCTAGACCCAAGAGTCAGGGGTGCTCAGACGGGGGAAAGAGGGGTATTTTTGCCACTAGGATTTGGGGGTGAAGGGCACCATATACTGCTATTGATAATTTATAAGATTTTTAATCGGTAGCCCTAAAACATTCCTCACCCCAAAGAATATAAAGAGAATTCCCCCTGATTAAAAGTTTAAATGCAATTTTAAAGTATTTTAAAAGTAATAAAGTGAGTAATTTCAAACCGATTAATGTATTACTGTGTATTAAGTTATATCTACATTTTGATAAATGGGATGGTTTGAGTTTGTTTTTAAATTACCCTTTATCTTATCAAAAACGCACACTTACCGAAATAGTCATGGAAGGTTCCTGAATAGAAGAGTTCTTCATTTTGAAAGATATAAAAGTCGAATGTAAGAAGTATTCTTACATCAGGTGTAGGACGCAAGACTTGAGGAGGAGTTCGAAGGACTCCTTCTAGTTGACTAATACAGCGGCCAATTGCAAGAGATGTCTCGTTACATGGGACGTTGTATGCGTTCAGCATCTAGGGAGGGAAAATTGTTTCAACAACACATGTTTTTGTGCATAGAAAGAGTTTTAACGCCCTGTTTACTTGTGGTGTAGAATGAATAAATAGAGTGAAAAATTTTGTATAACTTTGTTGAAACTTGCATTCTGTTGAATCATAGTTTGGTTACTAGACTATTGTTATTACTGGCAGGGTATTGTATTATTAAAATAAAGCTGTGTACCTCCATATATAATATAAGCTATCCATAAAAATATAAGTAACTCCATTTGTATGAGGAATGTGTCAACTATTTGGTGCAGTTTTATGAGTTTATGGAAATACTAATTTGACCAAAATTTGCTTAAGCGATAACAACCTATTAGTACTCTACTTAAATAAAATGAAAAATTATGTTATTCTAGTATAGTAATCTTGAATTAGTTTTACATTTTATACTGTATCTACTTCAACTCACATATCCTGCTGCAGTGTCGGGGAAGGCTACTCGAAGGGGAACTGAAGGTCGCGAAGGTGCTCCTTCATACCTCAGAACTGCTACTTGAGAAAACGGATCACAATTTCCTAAACCCTCCACAAATATGAAGTAGGCTCCTACTGGCTGGTCTGCCTCTACCACCACATCGTAACGTTCACCTAAACATATGATAACGAATGTGTACCTACATAAAATATAAATAAGGGTGATATGTTTTATTCTATCCCACGTGTTTGTCCAAAGGATATTTTGTATTGTTATCAAAACAATCATTGTGCCTTTGTGAATAGTTATTTTTTTTATCAAACATTAAATTTTTTGTAAGATATTATCAAGTCTTTTGCAGTTTAATTTAATTATACTCCATTTACTAAATGTAGCCGGTAGAGAAAGAATTCTATCCCCTCTACTTCAAACAATACAGCTCAAACGCTGATGTTTGCTAAAACGTCAATCAGCTACAGCATACACTCATATATTAAGCAAAAAGGTAGAGTGGAAACTTCCCCTCAAACTTAATTTTGTAAATGGACTATAGGCCTACAAGTGTTTTAGCTGCAGAATTTAGATCACATCAAAGATAATTCACAATATCTGGAAAATCATATAAAAAAATACATTCCGTCAGTACCCTCCCTTGTCCTAATTAGTCTCAGGTCAACCAGTATTAAATGTTACTTCATTTTGTGGGTGTTGGGATTCGAAGTAGTTTAACGAATTTCCCTATAGGGAAGTATAGCTATTAGCTATTACGACTATCCACCAGTACTATCCTGATAATTAGACCAATTTGTATATACCAAAGCAAATATGTGGTTCGGATTCCACTATAAACTGTAGGTCCCTTAGTTGCCATTAGCTGTATTGGCTATTAATTAACAGCTGTGTCTAAGGAATGTCGGCCTTAGTCACTAACAAGACTACAAGATCGCGCCACTCATCCTAACACTCATCTCCATTCATACAGGACTTAAAATACCTACTTTGAATGGTCGCCATTTAATAAGAAAGTATAAAGTATCTTTTAAAATTTAGAAACAATACTCATATTCATAATACCAGAATACCTTAATAGAATTCCATCGTTTGAGTAAAACTCTCTAAATAGTCACATAGTTTTGTCACTTAAAGTGTAAAACTTTCTTGAATCCATAATTAATTTACACACTATAAAGGATTTCAAGAATAAATTTGATTTTTGTCTGACCAATAATCCGTTTTATAGTTTGGAAGATTTGTTAATAATAAGATTCTTCAGTTGTAATTTTTTAAATAATATAAGTACCACTACGTCTCCTTTTGTTTAGTTATAGCTATAAGTATTGTTTTAATTACCGGTAACTGACTAAGCGATAGTTTTAGCTGTATTGTACATTGTCGATAATTTGTACAAATTCAAAAGACAATAAAGAATATTTCATTTTATTAAAGACAGGTTTTTTTTCACAGCCAAATAATGCTGCGGGGTTGTGAAAGACATGCAAATATTTTAGAGCCTCCGAGCCTTCATTTATCATGTTAACATTCTCTACTGAATTTGGCAGCTACGTAAACTCTGAACATTTAATACTTAACAGCCAGTTACCTGCAGATAGAATAACTGAGTCAAACTCCAGGGGTTTTATTGGGTTCCTGTCAATACCGACAGCCAGTAGTTTGTGGTCCTGGATTGTGAAGCGGTAAGGACATGACAGACAGCTTGCTCCTATCAGTCGGAAGCGGTAACGGTAACGTGCACGAACCTTGAACTCTGACAGAGGGGTATCTCCAACTAGCTCGGTTTTGTTAACCTGTTAACAAAAAATAAACTCCATTAGTTAATAATTAGTTCATTTCTTTTAGTTCTGAGGATGTTGTGTTCCCATTTACCATCGCACACAGTTTAATTTAAATGCAGTTAGTTATCAGTTACCAAAATGGTAGAAGACGAAACTATTTTTAATTCTATATATAATACGTAAAGGCAATTTCTGAGAAACACTACTCCTCCATTAATAATGGACGGATTTTGACTAACGATGTGTCAAAACTAAGAATTTTTGTAGACGCGGTTTTTTACCAATTCCTGTAATAAAAGTTCTCGGGCTTTGCCCGACAGGCCATCAAAATCCCAATGTATTTCTTATGAAAAAAATGTACTAACCCAGCTGTTTAATAAATCTTACTTCAGTAGTGGAATTTGTCAAGTGTCAAGATACATCATGTGTAGGCCTACATGTTGTTAGTTGAATACAAACAATCAACACATGGTTTAATATAAAGCAAGTATTGGGTTGGATACAAATAAATGTCAGAATTTAACACCGGTAATGGTTGAACAAAGTGCCATGAGCAGCAAGAGTAAGTTTTGTAAACCGTAGAAATTGAAGATTAGTACGTGGCCTTCATCGACTTAGACAATGATGAGACATATGATGAATGCCGCATTGGACTAACTATCAGAGATCCAGAATCTCATTCTCTTGGACCCATGAACAACATATATGCAGGTGATGCATTATATTTCAATGCTAAAAAAAAAAAAAAAACACACGAGGAATGTACACTGCACAGAGAGTTAATATGACCCAGACTGCTTTTTTACAGTTGTAAAATAAAATTATAAAACAAATTAAGTTGTAACTTTTCATTCTTACCCCGTATTATTGAAAACACCTTTTGGACGATTTAATTAAGCTAAAAAGTTAAATGCAGGTCTTTGAAAATGAAAATACTATAATGAAATACTGTGTTTTTTACTTCCCTTCACTAGTAACACTATGCAACTATTTAATAACTCTAATTATAATCTCTACACAAATGTTGTCCCAATTTAAAATTGTAGGTAAAAATAATAAAGAAGCTTTATGGTGAGGGTCAATGACAAAGTAAAATAATGCCCTGATAACTTTGCTAAATTTTGTGGCTGCCTCTGAGAACACCACACCTAGTATTTATCAAAGTTTTCTTTTCTACTAAAGCTACAATTTAAAAAACTACAACAAACAAACAATATAATTTTTTTTGTCCTAGGACGCTAGGCACGAGCCCTTATATTAAATAAGGAATATTAGAAACTAGAACAATATTAAAACTGCTCATGAGGTTAAAAGCATGAATTTATACAACCCAAGTACACAACATTCTGTTTATATCCATTCCATCAAAAGACAACACGGGTTGAGCCTGGTTTAATGATTAGACAGTGCAACAGTTTGATCCAGAGACTCTAACTTGTACTGAATTTGATGTAATAGACATCAAATATGAGTAAACGCGAAGACCTATTCAGCTGACTTAGACAATGGACGACGATATACCCACAATGCACCATGCACTACGAGTGGTGGGAGAGAGCCTCCAGCTGGGGCGGTCACGAGTTAGTCTTCCTGTCCTCTCCAAACTAGTAGGTGAGCTTTAAATCGAGTCGTGTAAATCAATTCAGTTCGCGGTGTTAGTTGGATAAATTCTATTTTCATCAAATCGTAAAGCCTATATCCCGCAGGGATATAATTACCGCGCGAGTGAAAGTAAATTCGGTTCGAAAAAGCAAAAAGTCGCAAAACTTCTTTACCAACTAACACAAACCACCATTGAAAATTTCACGTCTTCGTCGATCAAATTAATTCATTCCCGTTTTTTAAAGCTCACCTAATTCCTTAATTCCTCCCTCCCAGTGTGTGTTATATGTTGGACGTCCAAAATTGTAAGTAATATATGTCCTTTATTGTTATAGTTATATTTTTTCAGTGGGTCGTACAAGCTATCATTTTTCATGTTATACTTTGTCATTTCCTGTATCGTAAGCATATGTCCCCAGGTTTACAATTTTTGTAGGAGTGTTTTATATCCATTTTCAGCTATCTAATCAGTATTAAATAAGTTAGTAGACTGTGATAATATTATTCTTTTAGGTTTAAAGAAATTAACAGGTTTTTGTAGAAAAAATAACCTACCTCGCATATAATTTCATTGTTGTATTAATTGTAAACTCATTGTTTTAGTAATCTTACACAATTCACTTCAATAGTTAATAAGAGTGTAATAGCCATTGGTGATTAAATTGGGAAATAAAGTAATTGGAAGTTGAGGTGGACTACAGGTTCGAAGAAAATTGTGACAATGGAAGGTGAGGGCGTGTGTGTTGCATAATAGATGAACCCACCATAACACTCTGTAGCAATAAATAATAAATAATCTTTCACAACGTTTTACTGAGTTACAAACAGTGATACTGTGTAACAAGTCGGACTACGAGACACAATCTTCAATTAATATTCGTTGGCCAACAAGAAGGATTAGTGAGTATTGGGTCATCTCAATAATAAATCAATTTCACACCTCACCGTCATTGTCGTGGTTGAATTGTAACCGCGTCAATCACTTCTCCTACCAAGGGAATACATTCATATTTTTCACAAAGATATCAGTGGCGTTTGCACTCAAGCATTGAGAAATTTGTATCACTATTTTTTGTTGGACTTTCACTCATGATCTGTATATAAGCTAGCATATTGTGACTATTAATTTTATTTAAGTCATATGTTTATGTTTTTATATTTGACTAGCTGTTTGCCCGTTCTTCGTACGGGAATCTTGTAGTAAGTTGAAACCTTCTTATATTCAGAACAGGAGTTGGTTTGCATATGAATATTTCCTGATTTGCTGGAAAAACTATTACTGTATAGGAATACATATAAACCTTCGCAAATACAATATCTGACAGTGTCAAAGCCAAAACGAATGTTTCACCATTATATGTCACCCGATCGTGTTAGTCCATATTTTATATCTAATGATAAAAGGAATTATTGCTTTATAGATCCATGAGGCATAGAACTAAGGTAGGTCTGTAATTGAAAGTTACGTTTCACAATCTACAAAAACAACACCTCTTCGACAGCTTCTACAGAAAAATAGAAGATTTCATTGGTCAATAGATTGTCAAACTTCATTTGATTGTCTCAAGGAGGAAATAACATCTAAAAGAGTTCTCGTACAATATGACCCCCATCGTCCAATCGTTCTAACATGTGATAATAAATAAATAAATAAATAAAAATGTCTTTATTCAGCGTTTCTCTGGTACACCAGCTTTTCAGAACAACTTTCGTCACTATGCTAAACATCTTATTCAACAATCAATTATACATAACAATTTGAAATTTTTTACAAAACAATTCAACATATCAATGTGGTCGTTATACACTTAGACAATAATTACAATTTTTTTAAAAAGATATCTTTAAGTTTTTCTTTAAATGTTTTGCTAGATGCAACAACCTTCAGGCCGTCGGGTAGACCATTGTACAACGAGGGACCAAAATATGAGAAGCTCTTCCTCCCAAGCTCTAGAGAAACTCTTGGGAGGTGAAGCCTCCCACCATGACGTGTCCTTCGCTGGGAAACCTCATCGCGAAGAGAAAGCCTCTCGCGTAAATAGTCGGGCTCACAAAGTGACAACACTCGGTGGGTCATGCAGCACGTCAACAACCTGCACATGGCTTCAACGGGAAGCAGACTAGCTACTTCTCGAAAGGGAGAGACATGATCAAATTTGTTCAAACAGAAAATGAACCGGATTGTGGAGTTTTGCAGACGTTGCAACCGATACATGTCTTCCCGAGAAATGCTATTGCCATATGCAGGGAAGCAGTAGTAAAATACTGACAGTATTAGTGACTGCACGAGCTGAAGTTTTGCAGCCTCAGGCAACAAGCCTCTGAACCTATACAAACCTCTTAGTCTCCCTAAGGCTCGCTGGGAAACAAAGGTGACATGATCGGAGAAATTCAGGCATCTGTCAATCACGACGCCAAGAGTCTTTGCCTTCTCACACACTACCAGACTCCGGCCGTCGAGACAGACAGACACTCCATCATCTCTCAAGGTCTGCACTTGGTCCAGAGGCGCTGTATGTAAGACAGTGCACTTATCAGGGTTCAGTTTGAGCCCATTGGCAAATGACCACTTGGAGATACTCTTCAGGTCAGCGTTGAGTTTGTCAATTGCTTCTTTCATGAAAACAGGCTCAAAAGACAAGTGCAACTGAGAATCGTCTGCATACAAATGTGCCGTAGAGTTTTTTACACAGCTAGGGAAGTCAGCTGTGTAAAGTGTGTAGAGAACAGGGCCCAAGCAGCTGCCTTGAGGAACACCCCGTTGTTTGACGAGGGGTTCTGATGTCTCGTTTCCAAGTCTAGTAACCTGCAGTCGGTCGATGAGATACGATCGAATCCAGGTAGTGATTTCATAGCTAAATCCAATATAGTGCATTTTAGCAATCAGCATGTCATGATCCATTGAGTCGAATGCCTTAGAGTAGTCAAGCATAACCAGTGAACTGTATCTACCTTTATCTTTAGCATCAATCATATCACTAAAGAGATTTGTCAACGCAGTACAGGTGCTATGGTTCTTTCTGAACCCTGACTGCAATTTAGGTAATATATGATTCTCATTAATAAAATCCGTTAGCTGATTAGTAACTATCTTCTCCAAGATTTTTGATATTGCCGGGACTAGAGATATTGGTCTCAGGTCTTCCATTCTAGCTACAGACACCGTTTTAGGAACTGGTCTGACGATGCTTTTTTTCCACGCTTGAGGGAATACTCCATTAATTAATGACTCATTCACTAGATATGTTATTGCTTCAATGGCAAACGGACTCACAGATCTAACCATATCAATAGAGACTTCATCACAGCCTACTGCTTTAGACTTAATATTATTCATTACTGCTTTGACAGTTTCTTCAGTGACAGCACTAAATCTGAATTCTTGTATTGTGTCATCTTGCCTATTAAGC